AGCTTAACACGTTGCTTTGTTCTCTGTCTCTTACAGTCCCAGCTCCAATGAATAATTCATTTACATCAATGAAGTGCAACAGTCTGTCAGGACACAGAGTTTCATAGCAGAAGCTAAGATAGAACTCAATTTCAAGCCCATCCACCATCTGGATTTGAGCCCTAAATACTAGAATTAACAAGTATTGATCACTTCCTTTCTCTCGGCTAGAATTGCTGTTTAGGAGTCACAAATCTCTCGTGAAAGTCTATTTGTAACTAGCGTGTTTCCATGGAGAAAGGTTCTCAGAAGTCAGCATTTCTGGCTGACCAGCCAACCAGCCTTTCACTACAACCTGCCAAAACACATCACTGAAAGATGCCTGGTCAGCTATTAAGAGGACCTTAGAGTAGTCAAAACACCATCAGTAACCTGGGAGTACATTGCTACAACAGTTCACACACGGAAATACAGCAGCTCCCACCCACCCACACTCCCCAAAAAATCCCACTTTTACTGCAGTGCCAATGTCTTTATTACTATAAAAATCTATAATCACACATTACTGCTTAAGGACGCTGCACCTTTGAGAAAGCTTCAGGTCTGCACAAAACACTCCAGTTATGGCAACAAGTCTTATTTTAATTCCATGTGACTTCAGGATGAGCACAAGTTGGAGACTTTCTCTTTTCAGAGGTCATCAAATTCAAACAGAATTAAAGACACCATTAATTCAACATACAGGCAAACTTTTGTTCAGACAGATTAATTAAGCCTCTAAATCAGCATTACCAAGTATCCACCAGGAATTAAAAGCACTATGGTCCATTTCTGTATCACGCTTTGAGGCCCATCTTCTCTTAGCCACAGAATTTTAGTTCAATATTATTTCTTGAAGTGACAGACATGCTGCCCTAATACAACCTGAATTATATAAACCTTGGCTTCTAAGGTTGAAATTAGTTACCAGTTGTCAAGCTGATCACTGACAGATGCCTCATGGTCTTCTCCAGCTATTTGACGCTTTGGATTTGGGACAGTTTGTGAAAGCTAAACCAACTCAAGTCATGCACAAAGGTACCAGAAGTATTTTCACACAGGTTTGCGCCACATTGTTAACCATCTCCATGCTACCACTGATCTATTTTGGAATCTCTTCATCTGGCAACCCTCTCTTGAAAGCCCGAAACCATGCCAGTTTAGTCTAGTGGTCTATATTGCTTAAACGGGCATCTGAACTAAGTACCTTTTTCCAAGTCAGCACTGCAGCCTGGGCATGGGCAACAGGAGAGCGCGTAAGAATGAGAAACATGAAATTTCTATCCAGCTGGGACTTTTACAAGCCATACACTGTGACCAGAATGCAAAAAGTCATATTCATTTTACTGAGACTCAGAGCTGGCTATTATTCCCTACTTTTAGGGTTTTTTTTTTCAGATATTATAGAGCAGCACTCAAAAAAAATCTCTAAGAGGGAGGAAAAAGTGCACAGAGAGACATTTTAAAATTCAGATCAGTATTATCCATGCTGCTGCTTGTTCTAATTTTAACATTCACCCAAATACTAGGTTGGTGGGTCAGGAAAGACGTAGACAAGGCTAAAAAGAAGAGTCAAAGGAGTACAAACAGAACGGACAGTCTGCAGTCCAGAAGTGCAGAAGCATTATTCCAAATCCTGAACTAATGCAGAACATGCTAGTATGTACTATTTATGGGGTTACTGAAATCTTGATCCCCACTATCCATTCGGGAGATTAACTCTTGCAAGCACTGTCTGTGAAAAGATGAAGACTTTTCTTTGGGGCTCCTGGCAGAGCTGCAGTTCAAGAACTGGGACTCACTACACTGGAGCCATTAGACACAGAGTTCTTAAGAGCTTGGCAAGATCTGTATCAAACAACGGCACGCCACCTCCCTCTAAAACTTCTCATGTTTGTCATCTAGGTGAGATTACAAGTATCTTTATATGTTTTAAGCACATAAGTAAGAATATATAGTATATAGTTAGTCCTTACACAGCAATTGGTGATCACATTACTGAATCACACAAACAAGGACCTGAACAAATGGAATTTTGTAATTTCAAACTTCTGATTTTATGATGACCTGAAATAGAACTGAAACACTGTCATATACTATATTCAGTTTAAACTGATCTGAAGCATTATTAATGTATCAACATTAGTGTCCTCACCTCCCCAAGAGGAAAGTTTGTTATTTATCCTCGGAGATCAAAAGGTCATATGAGACAAAAATTCTTTTAGAAGAGGAATCTTTAATCTAGCAGACAAAAAAACCCCAACCAACATCTGCTTACCTGAAGTTGGAGAAAGAAGCAAAGTAAATATAAAGTATGTATTTAAATTGTAAGAATATGATATTTTGGGGAATTTGATTATGTAGAACCGATTTTTTTTTTATAGTGGGAACTCTTCCTGTATCAGGACCTGAACATGGGTCTAGTATTTTTGTTCTTCTACCTTTTATGGTTTTTCATTAAGACTAAGTCCAGAGGAAGTGGCATAAGTTCTTGCAACTCTGAAATAAAGGTAGTTATCAGCGTTGGATAGCTTGGCTGAGCGCGCCTTTAATTCAGATTGGTCATCTGTTAGGAAGTCATAGGGGAGAAAAAAAAATTGAATTCACTTATGACGAGCATATGACCATGAAGAGAAGTCTCTGAATATGTTAAACAGCTGCTGAAACTGATGGGGGATGGAGGGGTAAGCTGTGCCAGGGGGCACTGGGTAGGAGACAGGAACAGCCCTAACATGCTGGTGGTCCTTTAACTAGAGGACCAGCACAGGCTAGCAACAAGCAAAGCCATCAAGGGAGACAGGTGCTAGTTCAGTGTCCCATCCCACTGTGATTTGTCCTAGAAGAGTTCAGCTATAAACGCAGAGCACCCACAGAAGACTGCAGTTCTTGCAAACATATGAAAGCTGCCAGCGAGTCTTGCACTGATTGTGGTCAGTTCACTTGGTGATGCCATTTTCAGGATAAATAGTAACATCAAGAAGCAACTGTTAAAAGGCTTCTGCTCCAGCTTGCTCACATAAAGGAACACTCTAGAGTGCGTAAGGTCCCATCAAACTGGTCCAGACACTGTATATGTTCTGGTAAATATCCAACACAGAAAGCTGTGGTAACTGTAAATTCATTAGTGGAGCCCACAAAAAATATGCAGGAAATTATCTTACAGCTTTAAATCAAGACTCTTTACTTTTTTTAAAGACAATAATCTGTAGTTCAGAAGCATCTATGAATCTGCTGGAAATTCCAGGGCACTATCTGCGTTAAGGAAGTGTAGTTAGATCATCACATTATAGTTTACGTTATGGCTAGAAACTTTTTCTTTTAAAAGGAAAGCTTTGTTGATTTTTTGGGTTTTGAAGTTCCTACCTGATTTAAAGACATTTACAGTCAAATAATCCCTCTGATAAGCACAAGAAAAACTCATTCAAATTTCTGCAGTATGGCAGGATTAGGTATAGCCAAGCCCTGAGTTAATGATCATCTAATCTGTGTACAAAAAGCTATTGAGAAAGAGATCCCATCACTTCAAGGGTAGGGTAGATCTTGTACTCTTAGACTCCAGGAGCTTCAGTCTGGGATGTCTCATCAATGTATCTGGTAGAACTAGATTCTTAATCTGCATAATCTTTAATTAGAGTAAGTATTCATTCCAAACTGAAGCTAAATAAAGACAGTAAAGTAATAACTTAACTTCTAAACTCAGATTTAACATCTAAGAACAGATTGTAACCGAGCACCGTATCAATTTGACAGCAAAAGCAAGACAAAGAAACATGAACACCTTTATATAGACACACAAAGCATCCCATAACTGGTTTGAAATAGGAACCAATTACCAGGGGCTACGAGCACCTTCAATTCAACAGGAATTGTGCACACTGTTAACAAATTACTGATGCCATGCAAACACCTCTATCCAAAAGTTAGTTGGTCCTTTGTCTGAAACTGTCCTCCCCCAACCTCTCAAAGAACAGCAATCGGTAACATGAGCTTCTGTTTCCCCAAATTTAGCCAAGCTTGCTTTTATACAAAAAACATGAAGTACCAAATGAATACAGAATTTTAAGAGCCAAAAGAGTAATCATTTTTTTAAGAAACTCAGAGATGTGATACAAAAGAAACAAGACTGAGTCCACACATAAACATGACATCTACCTGTAATTTTAACTATTTGTGTTAAAGTCACAGATGATGTCTAGTACATAATCATGTTAAAAAATAAGTTTCAAGAAAGCTTTATTATGAAAATGAAATTAAATTTGGTAAAGTGTAACAAATTTCATAGCTTTAGCTACTGTGAAAATATTAACTTTACTTGAAACGCACTCAGAACTTCAAATTCCTGAAATGCAAGATTTTCAAACCTTAAAGTAGTCTGCTACAGCTACAGCTGTTCTCTGAAATGAAGTATTAGCCCTCGTAACAAAGAAAAAAAAATCTCTTCTCCACTTTTTTTCTTTTCTTTTTTTTTTGTAAAGGAAGGATGAGAAGTGCTCCCAAAATCAAGTTAATTTATCAGTTTTAAAGGTTACTACAGAAAAAAAAAAAAAGGTACATTCCTTTCTCTGCTTGTGCCAATACTATATTTTAAGCAAGATTGTGCCTAAATTCAGAGAATGTTTGATGTTTTAACTGCACAAGCATTAAACATTGTCATATTTATCACGGAAGAGTCCGATGGCATACGTCAATGGCATCAGTCTTCACATTATGAGATGGGAAAGCAGTTGTTCAGTTGCACTCAGATTGTTGCTTGCTGCACCATGGTATAATTGCATTTAACCTGGAATCCAACGAGAAGTCATCCTGACCTTTCATGTTGACCTGAAAAAGCTTTTCTACACTTTTATATAAACCAACTGACACACAGGATGAACAGCTCTTCATTTCTTTCATTGACTATAAAAAGCAGGTCTTCTTTAAATCAATAGCTTAATAGTTACACTAATTCTTGCTTGTAATTCAGTGTAATGCTTCTTGATATCTCAGTCATCGTCTTGCTGATTTCTCTCCTGTCAACGGAACAGAAGAGTTCATAATGTTAGGACACAGTCAGGACGCAGTAAGAGCACTAATAAATCATGACAAGTGTTTCCAGGTACAATTAGGCAATGACTGCATTTCTAAGCCATTTTTTGAATGGTAAGAGATAATGTTTCCAGCAAACAGAACAAACAATATCGACCCTCTCCCCCATCCCAAACTACAGGATTTTCTTTCCAGTAAAGAGCAAGATTTGCCACGTACATTAAACCAACAGAATATACAAGAATGAGAAAACAGTGGTGGTGGCAGAAGTCGGTGGTCAAATGAAGACAACCTGCCCTCCCTTCTCTAGCTTACAAAGATGTCATGTTTTCATGTCACTGTTCATCAAGGGAACAAAAGAATTGTATTGAAAAAGGAACAAGGGTTCAAGGTATTTTCCTAATACACTTATCTTCTAACTTTTAAAGAAGTTCTTAAAAGCATTAGTTTCAGCCATTCAAAAAATACATTTCCACTTCTCCTACATCTGTATTTACATTTAAATAAGAAAGAAAACAGGTAAGTCCTTCAGTAAGATTTGTCAAACTGCATTCACTGCTTCTCATAAAGATAAAATTAATTAACTGAAGTGAGATCAGTATGAAAGCTTGCTTATCATCACTTTAAAAAGAATTTTTTAAAAAAAAACCAACCCAACAATACATTGTATGATAACTTTATATATTAGCATAGGTTACATAATTATAGAAAAAGTAATTACAAAAGCACAATTCCAGGCGCTTTGATGTTACCATTTCACAAACATGGAAGGTCAGAAAATTTTTTCACTACTTCTTACCAGTTTAAGAAAGTCAATTAATTTATGAACATCCTCTCCTGTAGAAAGGTCCACAAAATCTTTCGGCAGTCGGTAACTCAGGTATGGACTAGGCTGGACAGTAACTTTACTGTTCGTACATCGGAAAACTGGATAGTCCTTTGGAAAATACATTGGATAAGACAAGAACAGCGTATGCGAATAAAGCTAGCAATGTGTCTTGAAATGCTCCGTGAGATTGTCTCAGCCACTTAGCCAACAAGTTTATTTGGCATTCATTCAAAAAAAAGTGCACTTTCTAAAAATTGTAGTTTTCTTATTAAAAACTCTGCCCACTTAAAAGTACGAGCTACAATGTTAGCAACCGTCAAATAAGAACATTAATTCCCTCACTTTGAAGTTTCTACAATGTATCAATTATTAATGCATTTAACATACATGAGTCTATAACAGTGCTGTAATAATGGAGCTATAAGGAACTTTGGGCAATACTATCTACACAAATACGTGGATAAAGAAAATCTTTATGACAGAATCCCTAAACTTGTATCCACAGGTTCTTTGTTTAAATCCATGTTTGCAAATAAAACCTCACTGAAATTATGATCTAAGCTTTCCAACCAATTTACTTACTGAAAGAAAAAAATACCTTTATAAACCACCCAAAAATATCTATAAACACTCAATTGTAGCAACAGGTTTGGGGTAACTTGATACAATTTTCAGTTCAACACATTGACATGCAACATAATTGCCCACTGTATGGCAACAAACAGCTTCATTTCAAAGCCAGAAGTTCAGTAACTTCACACCAGATTCTGTGATCAGATGTAAGCCAGAGCATGAAGACAAGTCACTCTACTTTTCAGCCAGGCTTACACCAGAGAAAACTGTGTAAAACGCCTGGCACTGACAAAAAGAAATCCTCAAAACAGAATTCAGGTGTCCCATGGACAGCTCAAGAATTGGGAGCGTGTTTTAAAAAAGGAGACACAGCTTTTGGCAGGAAGGTTCATTGAATGGGTTTTCATAGAGCAATAGCCACACGGTGAGACTAAGAGAAGACGGCACCAATGAAAACCTGCAGAGCACTGTACTTCCCTTTCAATGTGTTATGAGAACTCGAGCAAAGCTCAAATGTTAAAATCAGCCCAATAAAGCATGTCATTCATCTCTCCTCGGACAACTGCCAAGCATTTCCCCAGATCAAGTAACATGCTACTTCATATCTTCTATCCAGCTGCCCAAGGACTCATTAAGATGTGAAGACTCGGTCTCAAGCATGCAGTGAGAAAAAAGCTAGAGTACAAATAAACGAAGACTATTCCTCCCTCTCTGTATTAACGGGAAGTTATTTGTTTTTATGGAGGCAATGAAGCTTGGAAGAGGGATAGAAAATCCCTGCTCTGCAAGTCCAGGGAGTTCAACCAGAGGACAAGGCTTCCCTGGGGGTATTCGATACCAGGAAGAGACAGAAGTTAAGCTTCTTTTTGCCTCCCCCAAACATAAATCTGGAGCTCTGGGAAACTGTATGACAGATAACAGGAACAAAGCAGAACTTTCAGTGGTTAAATAGAAAAGTAACAGATTTTAAGAGAAATTGAAAAGAACACATCAAAATCGCATAAAAGCAAGTTTCAGGGCATCTTCTCCGCAATGTAGTCGAAGCTGCAATATGGGCTTGTACTGTTTGAACTAAACATTCCCTTGTAGGCACCTAAAACAAGCACGGATACCTGTGGAGATTAACTACCGTCTAATAAGGTAGATTCTACTTAAAAAGAGTTTACATTTCATGAGCTAAGGACATCCATTTACTTCAATGAGATTCGCATCACAATTTTATTGTAATGAAGAAAGAAAGAAAAAACCAGGAAGGCCCTAACACCTGTTGGATTTGTTTGCCAGCCTCCCTCACCACAGGGCCATACCTGTTCTGTCGCTTCCCCTTCACCCTGGTCTCCTTTCAAGTTTTTCCCGGAGGTCAGTTCTTCCCACGTAAACAACAGGGAGTCTGTTACTTCACCAAACGGGTTAAAATCTATTAACCAAATCTTACCCTGCAATGGAAAAATAGAAGAACTAAAACAAGCCAGAAAATTAAAACAAACAAAACAAATCAGAATACAGGTATACTTATATTACAGTAGTATGCTTAGTCTTTTTCCCTAAAGATGTCAAAATTGAAATCACCTGGTTTTAAGCACTTAGAATATTTTAGCATCCTTTATATTAGACACCATTTTAAGACATAGCAAGCTATGACTTACTAATTTATTTTATTTCTGTTTTTTTTAAACAGAAGATCAGACAGAGCTCAAACAAACTGAATTCAGTTCTATGCAAGGTGCTCTCAGACGAGACTACAGAAGTTCTGTCTAATCCCCATGGTCCTCCAAGATCCCCACACAGCATGAACAAGGAATGGGGAAAAAAAAAAAATCACAACCAACCAACCACAAAAACCCACTCAAAACAGGGATTTTGCTTTCCATCAGAAGCAACCACAACACTGCTGTACATTCAGCAGTCTACAAGAATTGCAGTTCTTGGTCTCAGAAGGGACTCAAGCACACAGAGCAGGGTCTGCAAAATGCTCGTGAAGATCATGAAAGATGAAAGGTGCTGCACAGATACAGATAAATAAAGAACAACTTAAAGGCATTTTTAATATAGTCATTACTAGTAGTCCAGACTAGTTTCTCCTGCCTCATCTTCAGTACATTTGTGTTCCAAACAGTTCTGGTAGTATGCACAACTGCATGTCTGTTTTACAGCTGAAAAACGAAAGCAGAGAGACTAACGTGACACATTAAAGGTAACAGAGGCGTCTGCAGGGGAGCAAGAAATAGTTTGTGTTCCTTGAGTCATCTCAAGATACAATCCCCGGCATAGGGTCATCTTTTCTTACCCAAGAAAGTGTCATCTATTCTAATAAAACAAAACATTACAATAAATTATAATGAAATATGACTAAAACTGCTAGTAAGAATTTGCAAAACAAGTATTACATCTGGAAGAAATCAGATCTACCAAACATAGAAAGAAAAAGGTTGCTGTAACATAAGCAGGACTGAAGGGTTTTGTAGTGTTTATTTAAGATCAACTGGAATTGGAAACCAAACGTGAAGACTGTGTAGCTACTAAAAACTTACTTTGCTTTCTCTTTTTTCCCCTCATTCCTGACAGATCTTTTTTCTTAAAAGATCTTCCCTATCTTGATACAAACAGTAAATATCTTCAATGATTTACACTACAGCCATCTGGTTTCTAACTTACAAAGATGCTTTGGAAGCCTTCAGTCACAGAGTAACATGGAGACTTCCTCTCCCACCCACGCTACCTAAGCCACCCCCACAGGCACTAATGCACTATAGAACAGGAAGCGCATGGAAACCCATACGAGAGAGAACAGAAATGCTCTGGCTGGTCTGTTATGATCCATAACAGGCTACTCATGCAAGTAGGGGGAGTCCCAGCTCAGGTGAAATCAGTGATATCACTTGTAAACTGGAATAGAGCCAGCACGCCAACCAGTGTGTAGCTGCACGCAGGCTTTCGCAGGTCTCCATCTTTCGGGGCAGATCCACAGGGTACAGCTCTTGCAGAGCAAACGTGAAGAAGCCGATGCACTACAGCAGCAGTACTGAAACCAGATGGCTACAAAAGCGACTGCAAATTGCAGGGACACAGACTTGAGTGGTTTCTTACTTGTTTCAGAAGGGTGAAGCAGCACAAACCTGGGTGGCTAAGTTGCAACACCTCTGCATGAAGATTGACACCATTGGTGCAGAGAGCCAACAGGGGCAAGCTCTGCTATCATTTCCCATCTCTGTTCCTCTTCAAAAGGCAGTCACAAATTTTCATTATCAGTAATGTTTTACTTTTGCTAACAGGGACATCTTGTTAGCTCCAAGGCAGCAGGAGGAGGAATCTGTACTTTTAGATTCATTCTATCACACTAGAAAAACAAGCTAATGAACCAATTTAATGCCAGACAGAAGCAATGGCTGGCAAAGTTCATTCAGCAGTTCAGAGAATCTTTCCTTGCAACAGAAATGTTTATGCTTAATAAAGGACTTCCCTATGAGAGGCTTTCACAGAGACTCCTCCTCACTCCAGGTACATGAAACTTGGCTTCTTCATAGGAACTCAAGATCATTTCTCTAGGGAAGAAAGGTACCCTGGAAAAAACTGAAAATTGGGTTTGAGGCTACTGAAAGGGACACCTGTTTTTTGTGAGCACCCAGCAGTATTACTCCCTCCCTGCAGACAGCAGAATGCCATCTACAACACCCAACTGTTTCCTTGAGATGGTCTTAAATCTGCACTAAGCTTTGGTAGCTGCAAATTGATGGAAGTGGCAAAACAAACTAAACATCCCTTTTCGAGGCTCATTAAAGCGTGCGTATATAACTCTGGGTCAGTAACCAAAATGTCTTTTCTTAAGATCAAATGTTCTTTCAAGTCTTACATGCAATGTCATGATTTAAATATAGTTCAAGATGACCTGCACTGCGTATCTAAAGAGCAGTAGTAAAGCTATTTATCTGCAATCTTCTGATATTAGTAATCTTTGTCATATGAGAGCACAGAAATGCACGAGGCAGAAAAGCAAAGCTGTACACATCTAGAGGGGGAAAAAACAACAACTTGCATTACATAAGACTTTTTTTCTCAGCCTAAAGAGGAACCAATAGATTTACCACGTCGTGTCTGCTTCACGCATTGTTCTACTAAAGCATTAAGCAATGTGCAGCTGAAAGGAAGTGCCTATGACAAAGACTGTTCAAAGGAAGTTAAAAGATAGATAAAATGCAAACTGAACTGTTACGTCTGCCTAACTCCAGCTGCACCCTCACGCACAGGGACAATGCTCACAAGGCAGAGACACAAGCACCAGTTTGCTTGTTAATAAATGCAGCTGTAAGCTAGCAGTGGTCTGGAGCCACTCACTGCATCTTGTGCCTTACCACACTGACTTGTCTTGAACATGGTTACAAGTTGTTAACACCTGGGAGATGCACAAAGAGCAACAGCAGAGCTCGTTCTCACCCTTGCCAGCTGTTGTACAACAATTGTGAACTTCTAGCAGAAAAATAAATAAAAGGGGCGGTGGGGGGTGGGGGGAAGATCCAAATGAAAACAAACTACCAGTCCTGCATCATAACCTCTTCAGGACTAGGTCTCCAGATGATCCAGCTTGGAAGACTGACAGCATTTCTTCCTTAAAAGATGACTTGCCTGCCGAGTCAGGCGCTAGCTCAGAGGAGTTCGGTGAAGAGAGCGTAACAGGAAAGGCAGACACACAAAAGCGTGTTTTCAACCAGGCCACCGCTGCTTCCATGCCACCCTCCAACTCAACGAGCAGGACCTGTGGCAGCCTACTCCATACAGTCTCTCAAGCAACTAAAGCAAGCACGGGGAGGGGGTTGCTTTCATTCACAACCATATCAAAGAACAATCTTCTCCAAGCTGAATATTTACAGTTGAAAGAATTTAAAGTAAGCAGACACTGGACATTTCTCATTCTGTAGGTGAGGTTGCCGTGCAACCAGCTTGATGAGGAGCATGGGCTCTGGAAATTAATCACACTTGGCAACACTCAATATTCTTTTGCTGCCTATAACTCACACACAAAGGGAGCGATGAATAATACAGTTGCAAACCACAAAAGTATGTGTGAAAGGAGGAGGATCTGACACACAAAGGGCTATCTGGCAGTTTACAAGACTTGAGGGTAGAAGGCACCGAGAGATCTCTACAAACAGATATATTTTATCTTGACAGATGAAGAAACACTGCTCAGTTGAGATCACACAGGCTGAAACCTTTTACTTAAATAATCTGTCTTCATGCCTCAGCGGTGAGGCAGAGCACCCAACGGCAGAACCTGCTTCAATGCTGAAGTGTTGCTCCTCATTTGGCCTGACAGCATCCTCAAGTCTGACAAACCGAGCCTGGGCAGGTAATTTTCACTCCCATTCAGCATGGCTGGTTTTAGCCCACAGCCTGATTTTAGGTATCTACATTAAAAGTTGTGCTGAGTAACAGTACAATAGTTGTTTTCCACATGACACACATTCCCGTTTAGTTCCTGTTTTGCAAACGATGGCATGATTTACTATTACGCAATTACAAAATACTTCAGCAACATTCAAAATCAGAATCAGGATTGCTACAAATATTCCCAACTCAATCCAAACAAAGACCTTCTCCAATCCCGTACTGTAAACAAGTCAAACAGTGAGACTCATAAATGTTGTCACACAGCAAAAGTATACAGCGGTTTTTTTAATATTTTTAGTTTAGGATTTGGCAGGAAATTTATGCTAAAACAAAGACTTACTTCTCACGCACTAATGTGATTCCCCAAAATCAGGTCTGGAATTCTATAATCAGGTTTTAAGGCTACATCATGCATTTTTGGTTGTGGCTGCTTTTAAAGCAATACATGTGTGCCTTTTGAGCACAACTCATCTGACCTCTTTCTCTCCACTCATACTAGGAGAGGTCAAGGTGACTAACTCAGATATTGGCACCTGAAGTTCAGGTGGGATATTTCTCCCCACTCCATCACTATCTAGATGTTCAGGTTTCTGATCCGCTGAGTACTTAGAACGACAGCTGGATCAGTTTCAAAAGAAAAAATTAGCCTCCATCTGTCTCAAACTGGGCACGCCACGTTCCTATACTCTCTCAACAATTATCCCTTCATATCATAGACTTTCATATATGAAGTATGAGTTATTATTTTCCAACCTCACAGGGCAATCTGAAGACCTATTAATGATTAGCTTTGATGAGTTCAGACACTATAAGGGCGATCTTCATAGGATAAAAAAAAAAAAGTCCAAGGGATGATTTTTGGAAGAAAAAGTGGTAAGAGTCCTCCAAATTTCTTGTAGTGAGCAAAATAGCACCGTTGCCTCATTTTTTTGAATATCACAGCCGTTCTGTCTGAATGTTCAGATGCATTTCTGTCAAATGGCAAGTAAGCACTATGCGGAGGGAACCTTTGCAACATGTCGTGCTTTGCTAAAACTATTTAGTGATCTTGCATGATATTGATAAAGTACTTACCTTAGGAGAAAACTAAATTGCCTCCAGTAGACTCATAGAACTGACAGAACTGCAGCTGAAGCCAAAGTTACTGCTTTTAAGACAGACTACTTCTCTGGAAGATATTTACTAAATAATTACGTCACTGACACAGACATATTTACACCTCTAATCCTATTATTCTCCTACCGTGGACAGTGTCTAACAGAAAAAGACCTGGGGAACAGAATGATAACATCAAGTGTTTTTTTTGGTTGGTTTTGTTGGTTTTTTTTTTCCCCAGGACCACTTCTAGGAAGATGAAGCACTCATTTGCTTCATGTCTATAGCATTTCAGGAAGAGTTTCCATATATTTCCACAGAATAAACAATTATATACAACCTGTTGTTCACTTACCCTGCTGTCTCTGTACACATCAAAAACAACTGAAAAGGAGAAAAAAAAATGTTAATCTTAAAAGATACATAATTTCACAGAAGATGTCTAAATTTGAACAGATATTTGTGTACACAGCATAATCTGCTAAATCAGTATGTCTGAAGAACTGCAAGCCAGAAACAGGTTAATTTCCAAGAGCGAGTTGAAACATTTCAAGAACTACTGTTAATGCACTGAGAGATCAACTGCCAGGTTTCTCCATTTAATGCTTGTTTCTTCTGTTGATTTTTTTCCCCCAACAAAGAACATTTGATAAACTCTTAGCCCAGAGAGAAGCTTATCTTCGACATTACTGCTGTTTGGTTTACAGAAGAATGGAGAAATTTCAAGGATCAAGACTCCACTGTGCTAGACATTGCACAAACATTTAATATGAGAAAGTTCCTGCTTGAAGGAGATTAAGACTTTAGCAGATAACAAGACTAACAGGTTGTAGGAACAAAGGGGTTGGTGGGCGTGCTGAGGAGGAGGTGGCAGTGAAATGGCTATGTTTAACATAACCCAGAGCAGATACAGCACACCTACTGATTATCAACAGCTCTTTCAAACAGACCCTTTGCTTCTCGGTGATTGACGCAAAGCTGCCTTGCTAGCTCCTTTGTTGTCCCTCCCCTTGACTTAATTAAGCGTGAATCTTTGTACATGCATCTTTCCATTAGCTTCTGTTCTGCAGGTTACACAAATCTCTGATTTGTCCTTCTATTCAGCTAGGGAAATCGACAGAGAAGTGTTCAGGCATGACTACGTGCAGAAGTTGTACCAGCTTAGCAGAAATTAAAAAAAAAAAAAAAAAAAAGAAAAAGGCAGATTTAGAAAAACTTCAGACAAATGCTGTATTGTCACTTCCTTCACTACTAAGGAAGGGAATATTTCAGCTAAGAGATTTCCCAATACATGTGGGATAAACTAAACTCAGGATATGACTGAAGAACACTTGAGCCTCTGCAGCTACCCAGGAAGCTGCCCGTCAGTAACAGGGATGTTGATTAATCACGTTCATGCATGTAAAGCTACTCAGCAGCTTCATCTAACATTTCATACGAAGTTGGCTGGGCTGAGGGCAAACCACAACTCAACACTGCCAAATTCAGACACGTAACTGGTTTTGACCATACAGCCTAAAAATCCCCACAGCTTTTTGCACAGGCTCAGTTACGTCAATTTAAAATGTCATTCCGGAATTAAGTGGTGTATTTTCTTCACAAGACAGGCTACAAAAGTCATCAATGCAATGAGGAGCACAGCAACCCTAGATTTCTCCTCCAGCTGTTCAACTGAACGTGTTGCCTGTACTGTGTACTATCATCAGCCATATTTCACCAAAGGAAAACTTGCATCTGAGCTTTATTATAAAACAACAACTGTCAGCTTAAAGTGAGCCTATGGCAATCATTGAGGCTAACGGCATTTAAAGGGATTTACATCCCCGTTAATACTGACTGCACACTGGTGACTAGTTCAGGACACTCACAAACACTGAACAGAGAAGAAAATCTGAACTGTTCCATCTTCTTAGAGACCACCTTAGAGCAGGAGAGTCGTGTGCTGGCAAGACTGTAGTAAAACTTCACAGGCAATGGCTCTAAATGCAGGGTAAGCCCAGGCTCTGGGCTTATATATATAAATATATAAATATTATACATTATTCTTATATAAATACAGAAAGTATTGATACCTCCAGAGTACTGTTCTTACTGGGCTCTTGTGAAAGGTATTTAGAAGGTTCCAACATAATTTAAAAATATTTATAAAGCATTCGCCCATCTGTTATCCTACTGCTCTGACTCAACTCTTCCATCTGGAGATGCTACCAGACCAACTGGAAAAAGCAGAGCAAACAGCATCAAAATCCCCAACAAAACAAGAAGTCAGGAAAAAAAAGCTTTAATACCTTTCCTTTTAAAAGCAAACAAACAAGCAAGCCCAGATTTCTGCTGTTAACAACACATATGCTACCAGACAGTGGATCAAGGGATATGAATGAAGGGTGGTAAAAAAAACAGAAAATGTTTTCTGTGTGGCATTTCTCTGCAGATGGACAAGCCACCAGCATTTAGTGCTTAAGAACAAACGGTTAACAAACCTTCATCCCAGAAGGTCACCCTGGAACCTCCTTTTTCCAGAAGATAACTCAGATGGCACAGTTTTATGTCCTTTACATAAGATGACACTTCAGACCTTTCAGTTCACCACACAGCAGTTTCAGAGCCTAAATCCAGGCACCAATTTCCAAAAATAGTGCCCTGAATTCTTATCTATCAGTTGATTACATACAGGCTAAAATTACTTTGAAACAGAGGAAAATTAAAAGACAGTAATCACAATGTCAGATCTATATGGCTGATCTTACTTCAAAACATTAGGGCTAGGGACCTGTGAAATTAGTATACTGATTTCCAGATTACTAGTCTTCTCCACGGAGTGGTCCCAGAGAATTTCTCTGGACTGAAATAAAGGAACTCTGCAGAGCCAAATTATTAAGAATTTTATATAAGATAGACTGGCATTAAAAGGTATCTTTTTCAGCAAGTCAGACAGGGCAGATCTATTTGACTGCTCTAGTGGCTCAGCAAAACAATTAACCATGTTAAAAACTTACGTAAAGGTTGAGTATCCAAAGCTTTATAGAAGACAATACAACTGCCAGGCAATTCTTATGTTTATGTATTTCAGTAAACTGAGGTTTGGCCCACGTCAGACCCAACTGAAATTTCCTCATCGTATTTTAAACCACTCCTTTGTGATCACCCATCACAACAGAACACTATTCAATTCTCACTAAACCATGTCGGGAAACTATTTTCAATAACATTTGCAAAGTACTACACATTTAAAGAACAAGACAATTTACTTGGGCTGCTCAGGTGTATCAAATACCATGGCCTTCATTCAAGAGTTTCAGCAGCTAAATCACTGTGCATTAATATTCTAGGAGAAATTATCATAACGTCTTGAAAAGAAACTTAAAAATCCTTTCTTCAAGGAATATGTCAATAATTTAGCAGCAAACATCTGACAACATCTTTATAAACAAGTATTCTTCTTACTACTGAATGCCTTTTGTTAAGCATTTCCTACCTCACTTTTCAGGTTTACAATTTTTCTTAATTAAAAATGAGTATTAGGGGAAAAAGCCTTCAAAAATTCATTATGCCTTTGAAGGGATCTTTCACTGAACTGTTCTGTTTTTGTGAAAAGCTCCAGCCTATTCCTTCAGGGTTTTTTTGTTCCCAGTTTTACAGTCATTCAAAAACTAACATTGCTCTGCACGCTTTAGCCCAAGTTAAAAAGAGATAGCCCTGTGAAGTGATAGCTATGAAGAGAGAGACTTAAAATATTGGAGATGCCATTATTTATTGAGGTACTCATTTTTCCACTGATCTCCAGCAGTAAACTGGAATTTAGCACATTGCAACTCGGTGCGCTGTGGAGGAAACGAGCCTGGCTCAGCAACAGCAAAGGGGCAGGAGGACAAGTCTCCTTTCTGTGGAGTTTGCCCTGCGAGCCCTTTCAATTTCAAACTTCCCAGTACCCTGCAAAAGAACTTCAAAGAGGTAGACCATTTCTGGTTTTAAGTCTTTGTAACTATGTACGCAATAAAAAAACCTTCATAAACATCCCCCTTCCCTCCCCCATGCTCCCCTTGCTAATTGAAGCCTCAGGATACTTACAGTCTTCATCCAAGAATTTATATTGTATGTGTTTCTTGAAAAACTCCTGTATTGATCTACAGATCTCCTCATGTTGCTTAGAGATGTGATCATAGTACTGCGTGTAGTCCCTCTGTGATATACCTGTCAATAATTTTAGTTGATTATGAAGAGCTTTAGGCATGCACAAAAACCAGCCAGACAAAACCCAGTTATCAGAGACATGCACGTTATCTATATTTCAGAAGACAGGGTTCTGCCAAGTTTCAACCATTAAGAATTACTTACCGTTTGGCTTTATTCTCCAATACTTAAAGCACTTCCATTAGGAATTTTGCCTTGAACAGTTCTGCCCTACATTTTGTGAACCTCATTTTATATGTGTGCTCTTTGACTATTTTAAAGTGAATTTCAGGAGGAACCTTTGCCTGCATTTAAGTTTCCCGTTCCTGTCTTTTTCCTTCAGTTTTGTTCCCCCTGGCTACTCTGGTCAAAAACCTTTTCTGTTCTGTACATCAGATGTAGGAACCTGAATTTGGAACCATGAAATGAAAGGGGTAGAGCTTGCACATTAGCAAAGACAACAGATCCTAGCGCATCACAAAGATTCTGATTTAACTGATTTTTTTAAGCATGGAATAAAGTGTACCTGTTTGATAAGGCACTACAGGCGAAGACTCAAATCCTAAAATCAGTGAGGCGGCAGGTAGTCTAGTACATTATTTCTTCCATTTTCCCCTCTCAAGGGCTGTCTTGCATATCTGACATTAGATAAACTATTCCAGCTACGTCACAAGCTCTTAATTTCAGACACTTGTTTGTCTACAAGACAATAGTTTAAGTTGACATCAACAGGATTATATACTTGCCTGCACCTTAAGTGACTGAAGTTCTCACACAGAATACGTCAACGTAAGCCACTGCAATACTCTGCTGGACAAATGTCAATGAAGACCTACCCCATCAATGGAGAATGAGTAACCCAAGCTATGTGGGGAAGAAAAATCCAGAATTCTCCAAAAAAGACATATCAATGATGGCAGTTTGCTGTTTTAGCCATATACAAAATACAGAGATTAGGTTTTACTGTAAGACGACGCTGTCTACCTCCAAAGATGTGCTCTTTAAAAAAGTTCATACAAAGTTTATGATGTCAGTGGAACTTTGAATTATTAATGCCACTGCAAAGCTTAACTCAGGTCTAAAAACAAAAACCAAGAGATGGTGGCATCTCAGGGGATGCAGATGTGTAACTGGAAAATCATTTGCTACACTGTGCAATATCACTCCTTAGCTTGACTGACAGGCTTATTAATTTTAAAAGCATGGGAACATACTGTGAAAAAAATCTTGGAACGGTCTTCCGAAATGCAGTTGGAGTGCTAGCTAAAAAAAACTCCATACTGGTAGAACTACTAGGTTTCAAAACCTAGTAATAAAACGTACAGAGTGTTTAATTAGCCAGTGTACAAATATATTTGAAAGTAAATATAGAATCATAGAATGGTTAGAGTTGGAAGGGACCTCAAAGATCATCCAGTTCCAAGCCCCCTGTCATGGGCAGGGACATCCTCCACTACACCACGTTGCTCAGAGCCTCATCCAACCTGGCCTTGAACACTTCCAGGGATGGGGCAGCCACAACTTCTCTGGGCAATCTGTTCCAGTAGGCACCACCCTCAGAGTGAAGAATTTCTTCCTTAGATCTAACCTAAATCTCCCCTCTTTCAGTTTAAAGCCATCGTCCCTTGTCCTGTCACTACATGCCTTGTAAAAAGTCCCTCTCCAGCTTTCCTGTAGGTCCCTTTAGGTACTGGGAGGCTGCTAGAAGGTCTCCCCAGAGCCTTCTCTTCTCCAGGCAGGCTGAACAATCCCAACTCTCTCAGCCCATCTTCATAGAAGAGGTGCTCCAGCGCTGTAATATCACTATATATATTCTATAATAAATCTATATTCAAATGTTTTAGAGGTTGTTACAGTGATGCATATCTCTGGCAGTCATGGTGTTCCAGCAGCACATAACACGACAGAATTCAGCTCTTCCCCCTTAAAAAGCTATGTCAGTAGCCATTAAGCAATACTGGCTTAATGGAGAATCTCTGCTATTAGCAAAATAAACTCTGTTACAGAGAACTGTAAAAACCCCTGCAATTGGCATGAATGGAGAGAGAATGGGAAGAAGAGTGTGGAAGCACCAGAAGGAACAGCCAAATAAAAGGGCTACAAGAATGGTACGTGTTTACAGCACCTAGATTAGCACATCTCAGAACATCTATGTGGAGCTCCATAGGACACCTAGACCAGGCAACAAAGAACAGTGAGTATGTTCCTCAGGATTCACAGAGGCAGGACAGGATGGAGAGACAAAATGCTGACAGCTCCTAACAGGTGCAAAAAGGCACATCCAAAGCAAGCACATAGTCACCATGCTGAGAAGTCAGGAGGACCAAGAAGGACTAGATAGCTAATATCCCTTCACCTCCATATCACCACAAGGAATCCTGGACAGACCACTTGTATATATGCATCTTGGTGCTTGTGAATATGTAGGTATGAGACAGACAAAATAAGCAAACTGGGCTTTATTTTAAAGTAAAAAATCCCCTTCCTTCCTATGAAGTCTGGATTAGAGCTTTGCTACATCACTGCTAAAACATTTCCTTGTTAGAAGAGTTTAGGCAGAATGACTCAATCTTCTTAAGGACAAATGTTCACCAGTCCTGTGCTATTTGCGTTTCCGTTCATCGTTAAAGATTCCATGGCAGACCACACCAAAACCAAATTCAAACTCCAGAATAGTATTTAGCCTGAAATTAAACCCCTCAATTCAAGCACCTGTACGCGCACTAGATTCCTAACCTCCTGTTACAGTCAGCAGAGAATAGTCAAAACATCTAGAAGAGTATAATTCAGCTAAATTTACCCTACAGCTGCCCAAAATACATGCTCTGGCACAAGCTGCCTGTCCTCCAGCTGTCACAGGTCTCCCGAGGCACCCACCAGCTCTTTGCATGCTGTGGATACCCTAGCTATTCAGTGCCACTTGAAACATTTTACATTCAGGTTTCTGAACCAGAGTAACAGAGCAACAGGTTTTCTGACTGAGCTACACTGAATATAGTATGAGGTCAGACACCTCATACACCTGTGGATGTGTTCTCACCTCCCCAACTTTCTGCATATAATATCCACATGGGGTCACATTTTATCAGCATAATACCCAAGTGCCTCTGTATTCATTCTGCAAGTTGGCTACGATGCAATTTGCTCCTGAATATAAGAGAGTCACTTACAAAACAGCCTTTGGGTGAAGTTTCCGAGTTACAAATTAGAATTAAGAATATTCCCACTGTAATATTGGGCATGTTGTGTCGTCAGGCTTTCAAATACAGTGGAAAGAGAAATGTGGCAAGCCACATTTTAAATCACAGAGAGAAGAAGAAAACATTAATCCCATAAATGAGGTGTGATAAGAAAAAACTGTCTTCAGATTTAGCTCTGATTCGAGGAATTGGAGAAACTCCTAAGAACTTCACCTAATAATTTTATCTTTAAGAAAATCCTTACCTATAAGCTTGTTTTCCTTGACAAAGCATCTGAATTCTGCACCAGGGATTAGTTCACACCATTTGCGAAGAACAAGCTACAGAGGAAAAACAAATGACACAGTATTGTTTCAGAAAGGTAACAGGTAACTTTATGTTAACAGGTATACCTTCTAGATCTGCAGTTTTGCTGTAATGGTAAGATGACCTCTTAAGTCATTCCTGATTCAAGAAAACAAAACAATCTTAACCTGCAGTTCACATAATCATCTTGGCAAATACTTCAAAGCAATTTGACTCAATATTAATTTCATAGAATCACAGAATGCTTCTGGTTGTAAGGCAACTTTAAAGACCATCTAGTACAAACCAGTTTAAAGTAGAAAGGTTCAGACTGGACATAAGCAACTTTCTCACCACGAGGACTGTGAAGCATTGCAACAGCACCCTCAGAGACTGTTCAGCCTCCATCCACTGAGGTTCACAGATCAGATTTGATAAAATGCCAAACAACCCAATTTGATCTTACCACTTACCTGGCTTTGAGCATAAGAATGGACTAGAGACCTCCTGAGGCACCTTCCCACCTTAATTATCTTATGATCTTCCACTTCGTATGGCATTTATAACTGTGAAACTATTTATGAAACAACTTCAAAGTTACATTAATGATAAAGCACAGAAAACAAAAACTCTGTGGTACAACACAACAAATCTGTCACGGAATTGGCAGAAAGTTGCTCCCTAGTCAAAAGAGCTGATGAGCAGAATTAAATTTAACCAACTCAGCCTCTATTCTGGTATACACCCAAGCAGAATCCTGTGACGCCTTTGGAGGCGCAAACCAGTTAAAATAAGGACACCAGATAGAAATAGTAACCAAATTATTACAGTCAATAGGACAGGCTGCCTGGTAATTAAAGTGTATCTCTGGCACTTTCTGCTTCTCCTACATTGAAGTATCCACTATTTTGAAGGCCTCAGTTACTGCTACTGGATACCAGAAACTCCCAATGCCTATCAACTGCAGTAGAAAACCTCAGTAATCAAAGATGACATTGCTAATTACAGTGTAAACATGAAACTCTTTGTTCTAACTTTTAGATGTCCTGTATCTTTAAAGCACACCAGACAGTGCTTTAAAAAAAACAGGGTTCATTCACTTTTCTAAAGCCCTTTAAGCCCACAGGATGCTGACAAATGCTATATTTACATAAAAATTATTATTAGAGAAACGACTAGATGCTATCATAAAAGCAACAGCACCAACACAAACAGTTTAAAGCATTGTTAATATCTACATCACTAGTTTAACATTTTAATCTGACAACCAGCATATGAAACAAGATATGACAGACCACTTCAGCAGAGGATGTCCCCAGCCACCACAGCTAGCTTCCCTCTTAGTAACCTCAGTTGTGACATTCCCAAGCAGCACCCTATCAAGAATATATGACTTTCAGCTATTGAACTTGTCCTTCCTGGCAAGACTTGACAGACATGAGAGGAAATTGCAAGGAAGCTTCTAAAGTCTGAACTTTAGCTCATCTGGTCTGTAATTAAATGAACTCCTTGTGACCTGCAGTGCTTAACCAGACTTCCCCATGCTGCCCAAGCAACACAATTAAAACAAACGAGACAAATTTTATGGGCACATATCCAAGCACAAATGGCACCCTGCTTGTGAGCAATTCGTTTAAATTACCTAGAAATTACGCAAAGAGTCTTACCTCGTAGTCCAAGGAAGGATCAGGGGAATCATCAGTACAGTGAATAAACCTGGAAAAGTAAGGCACAGGCATGAAAATCTGCTTTTACATACAAGATTTTAGTCACACTAAGAAAAATAACCCTAAACTGTCAATCACAAACTACTGTTAAATTATCTCCAAGATGTACAAACCAAGTAAATTCAATACATCAATAACAAATTTCCTTTTGACAATTATCAGGGGGAAAAAAAAAAGAAAAAAAAATCACTTTTTTCACTTACTGTAATTTGGAAGCACTTAAACGTGATTGTTCGTTCATCGTTGAGCTTTTTCTGTTTGAATCAACAGTGCTGCTCCTTTCCTCTTTATTGTTATGTTGGCATAACCAGATTCTCAGAAGAACCAGATAAACTTGAGCAATCTAATCTAGTTCCATTGCAGCATGTTTTCCCTAGTGCTTTTAATGTTTAACTTCCTAAACCACACAACAGAGACACATCATCATGCCTTACAGCAGTTCATTTCCATGAATAAGGGATGCAAAACAGCTCCACTCCGCACTTCTGATTCCACAGCATGGTATCTTTCTAAATTAAGAGCCTTAAAAAATACTCTTACAAACCTCTTGAGAGTGGGAATAAACAAAACTACTTCCATAACTGCAAACAGACGTCAAGGTTTTGTCCCTTGTGAGAAGCTGACTCTGAGTTGTCACCTTTCAGGAATTATCAAGAATGGAGGCAGTTATGCCCAAGTCAACTTCTATGTACCTTTTTGTCATTTTACAGCAAATCTTACACGAAATCCTGTAACTTTCAAAGGGAATTAGCAAAAGAACGTGCATTTTCCTTCCAAGTGTACTCCCTGACCTTACTGGCAACAAACTACTCTGATGCACAGAACTGTGTAAAGGGTCACTGCTGAGCTATAGTCTTAAATGGCAACATTTATACTGTCTCCCTTTGGCACTGAACTTAATTAAGCAATCCAGAAGTCTAATATCTCTCACATAAGCATTGCATTTGTAAGCCTTGGCTGCCCAGCCTTCAGCTGGAAGCAAAGAGCTACCGCAAGAGTTCATTCAGTGCGCTGTCAGCAGAAAAAAAGATCACACATTTTGGTTTAGACTCTTCTGCAGGCAGAAGAGAAGGGTGATGGCAGGCATGCTTTCCAAAATCATTGTAATCAAACAGATCATACATATCTGTAAGCCTATGTAAACAGATAACATCCTTCAACTACAGTTTATATTCCCCAAAATTTAAGATCTGTCAAGGCAATAGGAAAACTCATGAGAGCTTGCAGTTTTGCTAGACAAAAGTTCACCCCTTAATAGCACATATGCTTAGCACGCTCAAGAAAACATCCACCACACATCAAAATAATCAGAAACTTTATTTTGAAAGACAGCTGAGGTCCAGCACACAGTTTTACAGTTCTTGCACACGAAGACCCGCATTATCTCCACATGGACACCAAGCAACAATTTGAGTGCGACCATCCAGCCAATTCCTTATCCACTGAGTGGTCCATCCATCAAAACCATGTCGTTCCACTTTAGAGACAAGGATGTCGTGCGGGACAGTATCAAATGCTTTGGATAAGTCCAGGTAGATGATGTCAGTTGCTCTTCCCCTATCCATCAATGCTGTAACCTCATCATAGAAGGCCACCAAATTTGTCAGGCAGTATTTGCCCTTAGTGAAGCCATGTTGGCTGTCACCAATCACCTCCTTATTTTCCATGTGCCTTAGCATAGTTGCCAGGAGGATCTGCTCCATGACCTTGCTGGGCACAGAGGTGAGACTGACTGGCCTGTAGTTCCCTGGGTCTTCTTTTTTCCCCTTTTTAAAGATGGGGGCTATGTTTCCCCTTTTCCAGTCAGTGGGAACTTCACCAGATTGCCACGACTTCTGAAATATGATGGATAGTGGCTTAGCAACTTCATCTGCCGGTTCCCTCAGAACCCGCAGATGCACCTCGTCAGGTCCCATGGACTTGTCCACCTTCAGGTTCTTTAGATGGTTTCGAGCCTGATCTTCTCCTAGAGTGGGCAGTTCTTCATTCTCCCAGTCCCTGCCTTTGCCTTCAGTGACTTGGGCTGTGCCGCTGGAGCTCTTGCCAGTGAAGACTGAGGCAAAGAAGTCATTGAGAACCTCAGCCTTCTCCATATCCCGGGTAGCCAGGTCCCCCGTTTCCTTCCAGAGAGGGTCCACATTTTCCCTAGTCCTCCTTTTATCACTGACATAGCTATGGAAGTTGGTCTTGTTGCCCTTGATATCTCTGGCCAGATTTAACTCTACCAGGGCTTTAGCTTTACTAACCTGATCCCTGGCTGTTCAGACAATTCCTCTGTATTCCTCCCAGGCTACCTGTCCTTGCTTTCACCCTCTGTAGGCTCCCCTTTTGAGCTTGAGTTTGTCCAGGAGCTCCTTGTTCATCAAGCAAACAGGCAAAATGATGAATAAAGAAGACAACACTGCAAGAACACAGTAACATTTTTCTTGACCCTTAATGGCACAGGACTGAGTAAAAATGAGGAAAAAATAGGAAAATGCAGCAAAAGAAACTCAGGTTTTTGTAGTCTCATTTTCCTTCTACATATTACAATGAGTTTTTGTCAACAAAAAGACATTACTACCATCCCTTTTTGAGGGGTAAATGTTGGGTACCTTGAGGTAGTTGCAATTCTATATTTTTTAGAGAAAAATAAAACTTTTATAACTTATTGTAGCATTAATTGTTTGGAACCAGCTGAATTCGTCCATTACATATGGCCTTTTCAACATATAAGGTAGAAGGCTAAGCACAGTGTCTTTAACCTGCATCCTGTTCAGGTTTGGAGGTACTTGAAAGAACATTCAGAAGGCTTCAGGAACCCAAAATTGAGAGATATCTGGGCTCTTTTTTATAAAGCCTTTGAAAATTATCATTTTGAATACTACTAAGGGTGAAGGAATTAAACTCTATAGTTTTTGGTGTGCTGTGGTCAACAGCTTGTTTACAGATTAGATGTCAGCAAGAAAAGAGAACAATCAAGGTCTCTTTATATGTAATAGCTGTACGTTAATCTCCAAGTGCATGTACTGCACAACAGGGCATACTACATGAAGCCATTATGTGGATCAGCTTCCAACACTGAGAAAAGCAATTTAAGAAGGTTTGTAAGACCTCCAGTACCAATCCTGCTAAGAGAGCCATGAACTCATTTGCAAATCACTGAGATTATTCTGTGGATAATAAACTGTGATGAATATAATGAGGAATTGTAAGAGTTACTCTATACCTGACAGTTCCCTTGCTGTCATTTAATAGTTTATTTTAAAACCTTAATAAAAAAAAAAAAGATCAAGCAGAAACTTTTAACACACTTTGAACTGCATCTTTATTTCTTGAATATTGAACTTTTGCTGGAACTTTAAGGACTAAAAGAAATAGGAAATTCATGCACCATTCAAAAGAGGATCTTGTACTACACTGTAAATTGCTAGGAAGAACAGGGATGGGAGTAAAACCTCAAGAAAAAAAGAATAATCAAAGGCCTCATTTTCCACATCCTCTCATGTGGAACTGTTTATCTCTAAATAGGTTAGACTAAAGCATAAACCAACAGCTACCGTTCTTGCAAAAAGGTATTCTGACTGCCAAGTCACACCTTTATGAGCCAACACTGCCTCCTATGTTCTGTTAGGAGAACACAGGCTGTTATTCCTCCACATCTCAGAAAAACTTTATAATATCTTTAAAATTTGAAATTCAACATTTAGAAGCATTAAGTCTGGTACCAGAAGTGTGGTCAGAATGCTAGCTGAAAGCCAAAAAGGGCTAAAACATCTGCTAAAGTTAGACAAAGCGCTCAGGAGCCTGATGGGCTAAACTTCACTCAAGAGCAGACACTCTCAATTGTTCTCAGAAACAGACACTTAAATTTTAACCGTGCCCTCTTATAAGCACCTAAATTTAAAAAACTGCATCTCCCCTCATGTTCTTTTGTATCTTGCACATTAACACATTTGGAAACTTTTCCTTGGCCCAGTGGGAGTTGTATCACCTGCTCCGTTAACCTGGTAGGTATTTCTTACCTACTAAACATGGCACAGCTGGTCCCTTCACTTTGCTTCCTGAGATTAGGCAGGGTTGAGTGGCCACTTTTAGACTCTCTACTTCATCTGCCTAACCAGCTTCTCAACAAGTTTTCAGGAATGAATTCTGGAAGTAACAGGTCCATAGCACCAGCTGGTCCAATAAAATACTGAGAGTCAATGTGCAATACTGAAGTGCACATCAGAAAAGAGCCATTCTTGCACAAGGCTCATAACGCCCCGGAACAGAGAGTCAAAGAGCAATCCCTGCAGAAGATGTTCTCTGCACCCGGTTGCTTTTGAACAAGGCTGAACTCGCAGGACTTCCTACTTCATCTCTGTGGTTTTGATTAGTAGACAACTGGAAAAATAAGAACACTTGAGCATTCAATATCCCAACAGTAGCACTTGCAGATTTAAAACATCCAGTATTGCCCTGTAGTACAGGAATAATCTCCAGAGTTCGACAAAATTCCCAAGGTTTATGAACAAGCATGATGTAACAATAAACTTACTTATCTTATAATTGGAAGGGCATTATCATATCATTAAACTATTGCTAATATTTATACTGGTCTCAAGGTGGGTAATCATGTCTTGACAAAATGTAGTCCACACAATCCAACAGAAAGGAAAAAAACTATGTTCTAAACCAACACACTCAACAGGGCTTTAAAAAGATTTTTGTTCTAAAGAGGTGTTTTAATCACTTAACAGAAATCCAATTAGAAAAGGTTTGGGGTTTTTTTTTAATCATATACCCACAACACTGTTTTTGGAAGTCTGCACTAAAACTTGAAAAGTTTAGGACAACATCACCCACAAGTTTTTTGTGAACTCAGCTAAGTAAAACGCAATGCTCACTCTGAAGCAGAAACAACATGGACTACGTGAACAAGTACATTGCTCCAAAGTCTTTGTTAATTTATATGAAATCAGCAAGGAAGAAAGTTAACTCATTATTCTGAAGTTTTCAATCAAACAAAGAACCAACATCATGAAAGAATCCAAACATTTAACAATATTCACAGCTTATCTAGTTATGCTCAGTATACTTGCTTTAAAGCCATATTTTTTAATGGTTTGTACTGGAGTATTGCAGAGCTGAACTCTTCTCAGAACTTCAGACAGCTGAGAATTACAGCAAGGGCAGTTCCCTGACCTGAACAATGTACAGATCGATACCAGATAAGCAGACAGGAAATGGGAGAGGAAGGAAGAGGCAAAGAAGGTGGTTTGCTTCTGTCTCACATCACTGGCAAAGCTGGATTAAGAAACAGATCTTCAAATTGCCATTGTAAAGTCTTTTCCATATTATGACCCATGAAGTGGACTTTTAAGTTTGTAAAATTGAACAGAAAACAAAACACACACAGGAAAGGGTATACAACATTTCAGCTGTTGCTTATGCAGGGCAAGAAACGTTTAGACCATACCAAATATTAACAAAAGAAGTAGAAATACAGCACATTTATCCTCCCTCTGAGTAGCCCCTCCAAATGATTTGGATGTATTATGTATCCAATTTTCATTTATTCAGCACTTCAGGTTCTTACCTCAGCTACATTTTTAATTTCTGCTCGCTAAGGACTAGGAAACTGGCAGCTAATCAATAGTATAATTAAGGAAGACCACTGTTCTGATTCAGCAATAATCGTTTGACTGTTTGGATAGGGACACTTTGTACAAATAACTTAGCAATTTAGAAATACCATGCACACACTGGACAGTAATATGTCCTTTAATAAAGTACAAGATATTCATAAAAGATAAGATACATAGAGACCAATGTGATTTTACACATTAAACATGTTGCCCTAGTCGTAAGTACACCTTCCATTCATTTCATGGAAACTGTAAGGCTGCACTGCTCACATTAACTCTACCTTACCAAAACAACAAGCCTGTTCTGCCAAAGAAAAACCCAAAAAACATAGCCCAAATGTATACCAATGTTAAATCTTATAGGAAGGGAAACAAATACAACACTTCGCAAACGAAACTTCACCTTAACCTTTAGATTAGGTGACGATCTCACAACGACATCACAAGGCTGGCATATTTACCACCCACTAGCTGAGCTGTGCTACCTGGTGGTACGTGTGGTCTTATCACACCGGAAAAGGAGTCTAAATGGATTGGACTACTGCAATTCGAAGTGTTGTCTTGCTGCTAGAGGTTATTCTCCCACAGCAGGATCAGCAGAAGATAGTGTACCTGCTACAGGCTGCTCAGCCACAACCATCCTTAGTCTGGTGTGAACTTAAGGTGAAATTACTGATGGTGCAAGTTAACACCCAGGCTGTGAAATCTCACAACAGAGGAGCTGGAATACATTCATTGCCTCTACTACTGCGTCAGTGCTGTCTGCAGAGGGCAAAGTGAACAGCTGAGGCACTAACTTCACCTGATAAGAGATAAAAACCTGACAGAAAACGCACCGATTTCAGTCTCGGTGAAGGTGGTCGAACCAACTCGTTCTACCATATAAATGGCATAAACTAAGAGCACAAACACACACAGGGAGTTGCCACGTATTTCAAATCAAATGGTGCTTGCTAAACACTTGATTGTGTCCCAGGCTCATTAGAAAATGTTTAACTGAACAGGAATCTTCCAAGGAGCTCTGAGTACTTTTTGATGAACCTCTTTACACAAGGAGAGTAGCATATACAAAAGGTACTATGTAGTATTCACAATGGGCTTGATACAAAGTGTACAATTCCTTTCAGATGCACCAGACTCAGTCCTGAAAGCAGTTACAACCAAGGATACATTAAATTTTGGTGCTCAATTGTTTGAATAAACCATCCTCAAAAAAACTGGCCAAGTCATCTAGCCTCCCATTAAGGGAAATAAAGGGGCCTACAGGAAAGCTGGAGAAGGACTTTTTACAAGGGCGTGTAGTGATAGGACAAGGGGCAATGGATTTAAACTGAAAGAGGGCAGATTTAGATTAGATATAAGAAAGAAATTCTTTACATTGAGGGTGGTGAGGTACTGGAACAGGTTGCCCAGAGAAGTTGTGGCTGCCCCATCCCTGGCAGTGTTCAAGGCCAGGTTGGATGAGGCTTTGGGCAACCTGGTGTAGTGGAGGGTGTCCCTGCCCATGGCAGGGGGGTTGGAACTAGATGATCTTTAAGGTCCCTTCCAACCCTAACCATTCTATGATTCTATGAAATCATGAAAAAAAACTCCTTGGTAAGGCACCAAAGTCTCCTGAGAATTACTATTCACTCACCTCAAATATAAACTGTAGATCTCACAGCTCCCCCATCCCTTTCGTTCTCTATGATCCCAAAATCATAAATTTTCAATGCTCACAATTGTTGCCCTGGTCCAACATACTTTTCAAACTGTCTTCCCACTCCAGCATCTTCTCCCCTCCTTCTCAGTCTCTTCCCCTGCACCTCATAATGTTGTGGGTTAGACATAACGTAAAACCTAGCGCCAGAATTGGACTGACAGCATTGCTAGCACTCCATAAATGCAGAGCTAAGGATGAGGATGTTGCTATGATTATTTTAATGTACCAACAAACTGGGGGAAAAGTGTTACTAGAGTTGCAGGAATAAAAAAGGTGGCAGTTGCACAGCATTAATGCAACTGGTTTCACATTTTGGACAAGACAATTCTTATCAGGTCATAAGCTGCTTAACACAGGACTAGTATGCTTGGGAACCCTCTATGGAGCACCTAGAACAAGGGCCTGGCATTTATTTGAAATTCTGCTTTTCTGAAAAAAATACTTGTAATAATCGTAAGAAGAACATTAGATTTCAATAATTTAATTTTCTTTCAGAAAAAGGGTGTATTTTAAAAATGCATGACATGAACCAGACACAGGTACTACAGGAGGAAACTGTTCCTGTACAATTAAGTACTGTCTTCATGTGAGCAGACAAAAGAAACCCCAAGCACATCGTATTCATAATTTTATCTGTAACTATTATCCCTGTTTACAGTTCCTGGAATGCACTTGTTCAAGAGCTACAAGACCTTAGGTTCAGAAGGAACATGGAGCATGTTCCACAGGAATATGTTAACAGAAGTCTGTTAACACAGTCTGTTCCATAGGAATATGTTAACAGAAGTCTCAGGCATCTTCCAGGCAACCACACAAACTTCAATAGCTTTAAAATTTGCCAGAGATGTGGTAAAGTCACACTGTAGTATCATGAGAAGTAGCAATATTAAGGCAGGTAGCAACAAGTAAATGCCAAGAGAGGTGGAAAGGCAAAAAACCCCAAGATTAAAATATCACTTGCTCTGCAAGGGAACTCAATAAAAACGTTCTTAGTCCATAGTGTCGTTTCACATGTACTACTTTAACAGAATGCCATCCTGTTTTGCTTTCACTCATTTTCATACTAAATCAAGAGAATTAATATAAGAATAAAATGGAGGCTGCTCCTCCCTTGTTGACTGAAGTCAAGTGAACAATTCTAGTTTTCTAGGAAAGACTCACTCGCAGTAACAGTGAAAATAATTTGCCTCACAATTCTCTGCACTCATTTGGACCTGGTATTTTTTTTTTGCACAGTGGAGGGAGAAAAAGAATAAGGAGGGAAGGGGTGGGAGGAGCTTCAAAGGACAACTAACTTATTAATGTATGTGAAACTTGTATTACTGTACCTGGACAACTTTTAAACATGAATATGTATTTTTGTGTCAGATGTTTATCGTTACTGTACAGCAAAGAGTAAGATGTTTCGAAGGAACTGAGAAGTCCTCAGAGGGCTTTTTTGAAAGGGTTTAAATAATATTGTCTGCTAGAAACCTACTTACGGCTGAGTGAGGTCACGAGTAATGAAGTCGGAACTCTTGAAGAGGAGGAAGACGTCACTGAGAGCTTTACATTTCAGAGAGCTGTTCATTGCTATCCAGTAGGCATCCTAAACAAAAAAGGAGGTTATCCAAAAAGGCACCTTTGCTAGCAGGAAGGAATGCAAGCTGCAGATCTATCTAAATATTATGTCATATTTGAAATACATGCAGAAAAATATTTTTTTTTTATTTTGAGGAAGACTTCATTAGCTTTTACAAGAGACACAATAGTTACTGCTTCTCTTACGAACACTCTGTTGAAACCAGAGCAAATCCATTTAAAAAAAGCAAGTTTTTTGCCTTACTCCTTTCAGGCACTTTCTTGGAATACTTGATCAAACCCAAGTTTCCCTTGAAAATATGATACAAAAACATTTTGGTGCACCCATCCTTATGGTACAGTTAGAGTACCTAAAAATAACGAGAGGGAAGTTTATTGCTTTTTTAAAAAACGTGGGAGTTTTTAGTTTTTATCCCAGGCAAACTTTTCAACTAGTATCCTAAATGAGAAGAGTCTGACCATCATACTGTCATTGGTGACAAGGATACAAGGTTTTATGTAAAAAAGACAGTGCTGTCTTGCATCAGCCTCACCAAAGAGTGTCCCATCTAGCTCTAATCCACCAGAACAATTTGCTCTATCCTACTTCACCGTTATCTTGTCTATCACTCCTTCCTTTATCAGAACCACTAGTCTCTTCTACTTTCCAGTGCATCGAGATAAAACAAACAAAAAAAAATCCTTATGATAACATCTGTTACAAGTTTTGGGAGTCAGCATTCTTACCCTTGGAGCACTCCAGTTAAGTTTCGGAAAAACACTACCACCCAAAGAACTTATTGCTTCTTGGACTTTAGCTGTGAACTCAGGAAATTCTGGTGCCTGAATAAAGAACAACAATAAAAATATCAATTTCAATACATTTAATCAGAAAGTGTAGCCATCTTCTAAATACTATTAGGAATACTCATTACAGAAGGAATAAACATGTCCAAAAATCAGGAACCAAGAATGCCACAAAAATAAAGTGATTTATTTCTATAAATACGTAAGAATCAACTCCAACATTCTTTCAATCAAAGAAAACTGAAAATATGTTTCCAGTTCTCACTCTTATTACTAGGAAGATTCCATGAACCCCAGGGAAAATCCCAAACTTCATTACATTCATCATGAAAGCTGCAACAGCTGGCAAACACACAAGTCAAATACACAGACCTTAAATACACACCTGTTGGTTTATACCTGATGGTAGATTATTGTGTACAAATAAGATCCAAGCAGATTTAAAAACAAACAAACTTTCAAAAATAGTTTGTTTAGAATTAAGTATCTCCTTTAAAAAAACTAAATCACAGAATCATAGAATGGTTAGATCACCTAGTTCCAACCCTCTGCCATGGGCAGGGACACCCTCCACTACAGCAGGTTGCTCAAAACCTGATCCAACCTGGCCTTGAACACTTCCAGGGATGGGGCAGCCACAACTTCTCTGGGCAACCTGATCCACTGCCTCACCACCCTCTGAGTGAAGAATTTCTTCCTTAGATCTAATCTAAATCTCCCCTCTTTCAGTTTAAAGCCATTGTCCCTTGTCCTGTCACTATGTGCCCTTGTAAAAAGTTAATTCCAGCTTTCTTGTAGACTGGAAGGCTGCTAGAAGGTATCCCTGGAGCCTTCTCTTCTCCAGGCTGAACAACCTCAACTCTCTCAGCCTGTCTAAAATAATCACAAATAATACTCTAAAATACAAATATTGTAGCATTCTGCCAAAGTATTAAAAGGTAGAAAGAGATCGGTTTAGTTTTGTAATAGTTCCCTAGTTGCATTTAGGAGTAGAGTAAAAGAGCAAAAGTAAGTAAATTCATAGGTAACTTGAGTGGCAGCTCCTCACTGAAGCTTTAGTTTTACAAAATTTTGTTAGTAATACTTTAACTAATCAGCTCTTAAATTAGGTCTTAATTTATTGCATAATTAACAATTTATTGCATAAAAATAGAGGACACACTGCAAAGGTATGGGTTGGACTAGAAAACCTTGTCTTGGATTAGAAAACCTTGTCTTGGAAAGATCATCATCAATATTGTAAACATAAGATGGGGGAAAAAAAAAACCTCCTCGGGACACTATAAATTCCACTCTGAATGTGATGCAATAGAAAAAAAAAAGATTGCTGACCTTTAAAATAATAGGAAAGGATTTCAGGCATATGTCAAAGATTTTTTATGTAATAGGATTTATAGCAAAAAGTATATAAGAACACTGTTTCTGACGGAGTATTTTTTAACTCAACTCAAAGATGACTTCTGATGTCTCTAAAACAACAAAGCCTTCACAGCCACACAGGCGATCAAAAAAAGTTTACACATTTTGGCATCTCCTTTCTGCAGACCCCCAAATGCAGATGTTTAAAAAACCCGCTCACATTTTAGCGTGCTGACCTAGACTGAACTCCAAACATTCTGAATCTTTCCTTGGTAGATTACCAAGTCCTCATGGGAAACTACAGCTGAAAAACTGAAAAAGCACTTCTCTTATTTTACTTTATTTTTAGAGCTTCCATCAATTCGAGAAATGGTTCCTGCAAGAAGTAAAACTCTCCATGCACTGCATTCTCATCCAGTCTCGTCTTGTTTTGGCAGAGGTCAGGAGACATTCCATGTGTGCAATACCAGCACATACTGGGCCTCTCTGGGGAAATGCTACCATCATGTCATTTAATACAAGCAAAGAAAAACATACAGGAGGATAGCTCTAAGGCTCCATAAACAAGGTAAGTTTTAACATTTCCTAAATTCTGAATGTCTGACTTTGCAACCATCAATATTAATGCCCATTTTTTTTAAACACAGAACTTTCTATAATCCTACATTCTAATTCTTCTTCAGAATATAGAAGGGCGAAGGGAAACAAGATCTACCTGACAGCTCAGGCAGGTCATCAAATCAGGATAACCACAACCACAGCCCACCTTACTGCTCCCTGAGCCAAGAAACCAATAGAGAAACATAACCTGGGATTCATTGTTAGTAAAATATGAATGCCCTATGCTGACAGTGAACGCAGAACAGCAGCCTCCAGCCTTTCCTACTATTCTTTATGCATTGTTTTCCCTTGTGTCTCCCTGTTCAGCTTCCACATCACTACTTGATCCATTCTCATCTCTTGCAGTACTCCAAGTGCAGCTCCCCACCCTTCTGCATGCTTCACAGTCAAAGTGGTACCAGGCAACACTTAAAAGCACATAAGTCTATCTCCATTCACTCACAGGCCTCAGAGCAGTCCCTAGTTTTCAGGTAGAGAAAGCAAATTCGCCATAGATGGAGTCTTCAGAGCAATCATCTAGCCAATTTACGAGATGGTAAAGACCGTATTGTGAAATTCTACTTTGAGAGTCTCTTTCTTTGACCAAATGTAGGTGTATTTTTGTAGGAACTAGCCATGGGCACAGCCCATGTTTACTATTAACCGTTTTCAAAGTTCCAGGTTTGGCAGAAGACAAAGCCCTGCCAGTCTCTGAACAAGACCACTCTGGAGCCCAAAACACCCCTCTTCTGCCTCTACCTCTACTTTTATTGCTGAGCATGATGTTACACGGTATGGAATACCCCTTAAGACAATTTGGGTCAGCTGTCCTTCCTGACTCTGACCCCTCTCCTTGTCTTGCCTAGCCTTAGCCTAGTCGCTGGGAAGGGGAGTGGGGCAGACTGGGAAAAGAGAAAGCCTCTACACTACGCAAGGACTGTTCAGCTATAGCTGAAAATTAACTCCATCCCAGCCAGCTCCAGTAAAACGTTAGCTGTAAAGCTGCAATACGTGCACAGTACACGATTCTTACCTAGCTAAACAGAAATTACTTGGCCTATACCCTTCTGATGGGTACCATACCTCTTGATTATCTACTTCCTCATTGTGTGGTACACTATAACGAAACCTGATTCAAGAATCTGATGTTGTTTCTTTAGCAACATCAACATGAGCCTTGCAAAAGAGAAGACGGATCCCAAAATCCTTGTTTTGAATAATTTACAATCTAAGGCACCTACTTTATTAAAGCTTAAAAATTTGAACTGAAGCTATTAATATGTGCAAATTTGACATGTATTAGTTTTAAAATCTATGCTACAAATTCTGTGCAAGCATACACACAGCTTGAAGCAGGGGCTGTGTTTATATTGCACCTAATTCAACGTGAGCAGTTCAACACTACATTGATACTATTACTTCAGCCTTACCAGCTCCCTGATGGCCAACGGTAGACAAGTGACACAAGAATACTAACTCCAACAATTACAGGGCAACAGCAAGTTTCAAAAAAGATGTCAAAAAAAGATCAAGGAAGCCTGGTTCACATCCATCATGATTCTGATTCTAAGCGAGGCACAGTGCAAGGAGATCATAAAGACAGGGAAAAAGAATAAAAAAAAAAAAAAAGATAGAAATGTACTCAGGAGGAAATAATGGCAAAGGTATAAGGGAAGAGTTGCGAAAATTGAGCTGCAGGGGCTTAATTTCTTCTACATCTAGTCTGATTAAGTAATTGGGAGATATTCAAAGTGGTGAAAATGAAACACAGCTATAATTAGAGCCGTACTTCAGTTCATTTCCTATAGTCTAACACGTGTGTGATTGTTGGGGATGAAGAAAAGCGTTTTATTTTTAGTTAAATAAAATTAAGCCAGCAAAACTTTTTTAAAGTTACAGACATCTACACTGCCATCCATCTAAAATGGTCTGAAAAATATTAAATACAGCAACAGATATCTCTAACTGGCAACAAGTTCTATCACAAGGTTGCAGAAAGGACACTGCTGACAAACCCACATGTTCGGCTATTGCAGGACCTTACCTTAAGCGTTGTAGTATTCTCATCATCTGACCACTGTGAAAAATAAGAACAAATCAAAGGTTACTGGTTTCCTGAGACATCCGTTATAATTTATGAGAACATCAGAATCCATGTGGCTTCCTACAACATGGAGATCAAATCATTGCCCTGGAGCTCCTGTAGCATAACATCACTATCCTCCATTATGGCTGTAAATTAAGACAGGAAAAATATTGTATTTTCAGCAGAAGTGCTATTCTAAAATACAGATAAAAGACAACACTTATATAATTTAACTGTGATTTATATCAAAAACTTGGACATTTCAGAACTCAGAGCCTTCCCTGTCTGAAGCCTGTCTCCAGCACTTCCATCCTTAGACCCATGATCCATTAGTTTCACTTATATTTCTTTTTCATCTCCTTTTTGTACCCTCTGTCACCTTGCACTTACAACTTTCAGCAGTTTTCTTTTAGAAAACCCTTCTGAGCTATTATAGCCTCAGAAACTCTCATTGTTTCTTGAAATAACTACTCCACATATACTCCTCCTAATTTTTCAGGGCATGAAACGCCATTAAGCTCAATTCTAACATCCTTTAACATTCCCTACTTGTTATTACATATGCAAGTATCGAGAAATAACAAAAACAAAAAGTCTTCTGTGAAAGAGGACAGAAACATTTTAAACCTTCCCTGACATCATCATATAAATACTGATGTTTTTAATTTTTTCAAGGCAAACACCACGTGATTATGAAGTACTCTCCTCAGCTATAAATCATGCAGAAAAAGTTACACATTCATATTTTTCTCAAGAGACTTAAGTTCCGTTTTATACTGACCTGTATTTCCTCTGCATCGTCACTCCCCTCCTGAGCATGACTTGGCGGATCTTCTCTAAAACAAAAAATCAGCAGGGAAAAAAATAAGCATCAGAGTTTGACTTGACCATACACATTACATTTCCACAGCATCTACCAGCTGTTGATTTCAAAATGTTTTTGTAAGATTAAGCCTCAAAACCCCTGGCAGAGAAAAATAAGGGCAAGGCAGTACAGAACACTGAAGATAAAACGCTTTTGCATTAGACTTGGGCCCTATCCAAAACATTTTGCTTCTTTCACATCAGCAGATCTCCTTCTGCTCTGAACTCAATAAATACTAAGATTTTTATATATAGCTTATCTTATTGAGAATTAAACCCAGGTAATGTCACTCCAGCCCTGGGTAAGGCTGCAGGCATGTGAATGGTGTGGCACAGCTCACACCTCTGAACTGGAGCTGTATCAAAGAAACCAAACACAAACCAGCAGGCTGTGCACCCACGAGTCTTGACTCTGCAAGGAAAGACAGAGGAAAAATTAAAAAACTGCCCTTACTTGGTCTAGAATCAAGTGTATTAAATGGATTTTAGGAACAGCAACAGTCAGCCCATTCACATGCTTATACAGTATGAGGTTTACTGCAGGCAGACCGGTCAGATTAAACAACTCACTACGCAAAACTTAACAAGCATACACGAAATAGCACTGCGAACATAAAGTAGTATTAATACTTGGAAGGTGGGGGGAAAACACTCTTTACCTTCCAGAAACCACAAGCGTTCCATCATCCAGCAAATATTCTTTCACGTTCTCTGGTAGAGGAAGTATAACACTGGAAAAATAAGATAATTCCTTTAATAATTTAGTATTAATATTACTTGTTAAAATAACGACAAGAAGAAAAATAATAATTTGTTTCTTAATAGAACATACCTCAGTAACAGTATGCTTTATTTTCTAACACTATGAAAAAAAACATTTCTCTTTCTTCCTTCTCATCCCTTTCCAAAAGCAA